ATAAGAAGAGAAGGAAAACATCTGAAGATGGAGCAAAGATTGGAGTATTGCATCTTCAACTCAAAGAATGGCAAGGATGCACACAACCGCCAGAATCTAGGAGAAAGGAATGGAATGGATTTTCCCCCAGAGTCACCAAAGGAACTGACCCTACAAACACACTTTGACCTTGAATTTTCAGAAATATGAAACAACAGATTTCTGCTTTTAATCTATTAAATTTGTAGAAATTTGTCCTGATGGTTCTAGAACACTGATACAATCTTTGCCTGACCCTTCAGTTTCTTCCTAATCTGAGCATATCCTTCTTTGGTCCTCTCTTTTACTCTCTTTCAACTTCTCTTCTTATGACTGTTCCTTAATCATGCAGTGATTATTTATGCATTTTGTCTTTTTAAATGTGATCCCTCCCCTTCACTAAGACTCATTGTGCTTTTTGCTTGTTTAAATCATTATTATAAAATGAAATTCCTATGCTAGTCCATGCCAATTTCTTTCCTCGTCTGAATTCTTATAACACACATTTGGTGCTAATTCACGTTTTGTTCAAGGAATATTTGTTTTACTTTTCATGTATATGTATCTACTTGAGGGCTAGATGTTTGCATCTACTACTGACAGAGAATGCAGGTGCTATAAACTAAATCAAGCCCCACTCCCAAGACATATAACCCTACTCCCCAGAACTCAGAACGTGTCTATATTTGGAGATAGAGCCTTTAATTAAGCACTTAAGATTAAGTGAGCACATATGAGTAGGCTCTAATCCAAAATGGCTGATGTCCTTTAAGAGGAAATCTGTATACGCAGCAATGCAATGCCCAGGGCGCATGTGCACAGTGCAATGGCCATGTTAAGAAGCAATAAGAGAATGGTTGTCTGTAAGCCAAGGAGAAAGGCCTGAAATAGATGCCTCCTTTTTTTTTTTATTTTACAAAAGTTTATTTTTACATCATTTTGTACATTTTTTTTCCCATCTCAATTGTAATCCCCGCGGGTTTCCCATTACCAAGTC